ACACCATTTCCATCTGAATCTTTTCTCGTTCATTGTTTTCTTGCGTTCATCAATAGGTGTTTCACGTCCTCCGTCATTTCATCGGGCCTGTCTCTACGATCTTTCTGGTTCGCTGCCATTCAATCGCTGAGGATACCATGCAATGTTGGAACATGTAGCATGTCAGCATGTGCAAGTGCGGTTTGCGGATGTTGGAACGTGTAGCATGTCGGCATGTGCACGTGCGGTTTGCGAATGTTGGAACGTGTAGCATGTTGGCATGTGTCAGTGCGGTTTGCGGATGTTGGAACGTGTAGAATTTGGGCATGTGCACGTGTGGTTTGCGAATGTTGGAACGGGTAGCATGTCGGCATATGCAGTGCGTTTTGCAAATGTTGGAACGAGTAGCACTTCAGTCTGCCCCTCTTTTCTTGTGTAAAGCCCTGAAGCTAAGGGCACAACTAAGATGCAGGGGGCCAGCGGAGAGGCAGGTAAGATGAGTGCGTGCGCTGGCCAACGAAGACCGCGCACTCATCTACCTGTCCTCTCGTGAAAACGTACCTGCATAATGAACGGCTGAGGCCAAGCCGAGAACCCCACTATGAAGATGAAGAAGAGGATGTGGAAGATGTCCAGGGTACGATTGTAGGACCAACCCATGTTCGGCTTCGGCCAATCGGGGGTCAAATCAAGTGTGTGTGTGCGTGTGTGTGTGTGCGTGTGTGTGTGTGTGTGTGTGCGTGCGTGCGTGCGTGCGTGCGTGTGTGCGTGTATATGCTTGCTTGCTTGCTTGCTTGCTTGTTCGTTCGTTTGTTTTTTTGGTTCTTTGTTTGTTTCTTGATTGTTTGTTTGATTGTTTGGTTGTTTGTTTGCTGGCTTGTTTGCTTATCTGTGTCTCTCTCTCTGTGTGTGTGTGTCTGTGTGTTTGTGTGTGAGTGTGTGTTTCTTTCTTATTTGATTGCGAGTTTGCTTGTTTATTTGCTTACTTGCTTGCTTGCTTTTTGTTTGCTTGTTGGTTTGTTTGATTGCTTGCTTGCTTGCTGTTTGTTTGCTTGCTTACTTGTTTCTTTGTTTTTTGTTTCTTTGTTTGTTTGTTTGTTTGTGTGTGCGCGCGTGTGTTGTTGGTTGCTTGTGCTTATTTGCATGCGTGTGCTGCATTGCTTCGACGATTCGAGGGGCTGGAGCAAGGATTGCGAGCTCAAGGACTTGCGATGCCCCACTCCATCGTTGTCATCAATGGGACTGGGTAGCTCCATTATGCCTCCGTTCGGGCCCATCCTGCGTGCAGCTGTCTCGTTCAGCATGACGGAGTCCATGATCAGGTCGCTATCGGCGTCGGAACCGAAGGCCCTGGCGATGGCCGGGGCACGAACGTGGACCTGCGCGGAGGCACGCGCCCTGGACGTGGCCGGCGCAGGTGGTGCCGGGTGCCTTCAGTGTCCGCTCTTTCATGCTACCAGAGTCGAAAAGAGTCTAGAGCTTTTTTTACTGCCGACATTTGCTATCAGTTTGGCTCATGAAACCAAGGTATCAGGTCGACTTATGACTCCGGCTGGAGGGGCCCTCGAGGCGCGCCAGAAGTTTGACTGTGGATGCCGAGCAGTGCATCCACCGAGTGCCGCCACTCCCGAAGCTGGTTCTGCAAGATCCCGAGGTTTGTGGCAGACGTTTGCTGCTCTTCCAAAACCTCCGACAGCTTCGAGAGCACTTCCTCATTCATTCTGAAACCGCGGAACAAGCGGGATCAAGGCCCAACGGCTGAAAAGATGCTCTGAAGTGGCTTGAGCAAAGATGCGGAAGCGAACAAGGGCTGGGCTTTTAGCTCAGCTGCTCCCCAATCGGAACAGAAGGATCGGTCAGTCACGAAGCATGGCAGCCCTGCAGAGAGCGGCTGCCCAAAGCTAAGCGGCCCGGGACTTGTTTTCGAAGCTGTGCCGCGCCACTGCGCCAGAGGGGATACTGCAGTGAAACACTCGCAAACCGCACAGCAAGAAGCCGTGATTTTGATGCTGCCTTCGAACAGTGAACTTGAGAAACAAGTTCAATCCTTAGAGGACCATTACTTCCTTCCCTGTTATTCACCGGCTCTAGCCTGGCTATGCCTGGCTTCCTGGTGCGTCTGTCAGACCAGCTCTACGTGCCCCGTCTGACCGATTGCTTGAACGTGTGCCTTCAGCGACGTTACCTCCTTGTCGACTTTGCCCAACAAGCCACGGATCAACTGCAGAAGCTTCAGCGACTGGATGGTGGAGATGGGCATGTCCATCAAGCAAAGATTCAACAGTCCCTCAACAAACTCCATTTGTGAAAGCTGCCCTGTTCCATCCACATCCAAGTAGTCCTGGGTTGTGGTTTGGGGGCCTGCGAACATTATTCCTTCATTGGTGGGTATTGCCAGAGCAACAGACGGGCAAAAACAAAACCGCTCTGAGGGTCAAAGATGTCTGCCATGCTTTCCACGTAGATGGCATCAAGGACCCTGGGAGGCAGGACATCCAACGGCACGTTGACCACCTCCTCATGTGTCAGCAGCCCACTGCGGTCCGTGTCCAAGGCGTGGAAGATCTCGATAAGGGAGGGTAAGGCCTGGGCTGCCGGAGATGGGCAGCGGGTTTTTGTTTTTCAGCTACAAGTGAACAAGTGCAAGAGCCTGAAAGCCACTGAGGCTGTGGCACCCCGCACCCTCTTCTTCAACTTCAGGCGTTCCTCTTCAGCTTCGAGTGCTGCCGTTTGCATGGCGTTTTCCACGAGGGCGGCCGTGACCAGATTCATCAGACCAATGGAGATGAAGACCAGAATAGGAAAGAAGTACAAACAGAGCCAAGGTCTGGTCATGATGAGCGGGTAATACACATCCGAGAGGTTGTCGAGCGTTACGAACTGCATCAGGGTCACCATCGCCCGATTAAGGCCGAAGAACTGCTTCTCCACGATCTCGGCGGTGGCCTCAGCACGAGCCAAGTACTCATCCTTCGCGATGACCTCCACGGCGACGCAAGCGAAGATGAACAAGGAGACCATGATCCTGTGAGGCGAGCTGCTGCGAACGCTCTCTCTCAGTAAGCCCGGTAGAGCAGCAGCTCCACAGAAAAGCCAAGAAACAACATAGTGGTGGAGATGATCGTTTGCCCTGCATTCATCAGCCCGTAGATCAGCCGCCACACAATCTCAGATGCGCTTTGTTATGGTCATGAGTGGGCTTAGACCAGCGCAGCACAAGGAACCTTGAAGTGCCGCAGCATCCGCCAAGCTCGGACGAGTCGAAACAAGCGCAAGCCTCGGACGAGTCGAAGTGATCGGCATTCACCGAATCTGACATCAGAGCTGATGCAGAAACATGCTCAGAAAGGAGTGATTCGAAACGGACGTCTTAGAAGCTTGCTGGTTTGTGCATGCCGATGTCTGATCTTCACCGAACTACCCACCTACATAAACACAAGGCAGAGCTGGCGCCGTGCTTTCACAAGGCGTCTGGCGGGGCAGCGGCCATTTCACTTCAGTCTCTTCCTATTCTATGGTCATCGCCACTGTACAGGCGCAGCCTCTCCGTTCGCCCCTCCCCGGGCGCAAAAAAAACACCTAAAACTCGCTCTCAAGGCATTCTCCGAAATTAAGAGACCTGCGGCTGAGACCCCGGGCCTCGCACAACGAGCAGTCTCTCGAAGCCATCGATGTCCCCAGAGTTGCCAGCGACAGCGGGCACAATCAGGAGCGCCTCAATAACAACTAAGTAACTAAATCATTGACTCCCGACAATGTTTTCAAAAAGAGAGCTCCCTCTGTCTTTCTAAAGAGGCACCGTCGAGCATTCCGCAAGATGACATCATGTCAATGTTCTGGTGGATTTGCCTATACTACCCTACGTCGGGAGTCTTCCTTTGAGTCAAATGCATCACGAGCACAAGCAACCCAACGATGACAAGGGCCACATCCAACCTCGGTGGCAAGGCGTCAAGGACATTACACTCTGGCTGGAACGGCCGTAGCATATCATTGCTTGGCAGATGATGTGGTGGTGTCAGCGGGTCGCACGAAGACTGGAAATCTAACACGAGGGCGGGCCTAATTATTGACAAATAGGTTATGATAGTATGTCGACATGTGCCATGGAGACGTGAGCTCGAAGCTGAACAAGTCTCTGCAAGCAATTTACCTTTGCCGGGAGTTGTTGCGGAGCTATGTAGCTTCTATGTGGATTCAATTATGGCGGCCGTGAAACAGGAACCAGAGGTCTAGGAAGATCATGAAGCCGCCAGCGACCAGGCGCAGCAGCGCCTCGATGCTGTAGATAGCCAGGAAGATCCTCTCCACGCCTGGGGGAGAAAGAGGGGAGGACTCACTCTGACAGGGTTTTCGTCAAACATCCTAAACCCTGAACCCTAAACTCTACACCCTGACATCTTCGGGAAGTTCTTTTACGCAGAGCTGCCTCCTGGCCAGAAGTTGCCGTTGTAGGTCTCGCCGCTGTGCAAGGAGAGCTGAGCTTCGATGCCGATCGTCACAAGGTTCCTGCGAGGAAAGAAAACAGGGAGGCCGGGGTCCCAAAAAAGCTTGAAACTCTTAGGCCCGAGGGACAGGAGGATGATCACCCCGGCGCCGAACTCAAACCACGAGGACTGGACGATCAGAGCTGCCTGTATACAGCAGGGGTCACACGAGTATCCCTGCATCACGCACGACCTCTCTGAATCCATCGAGCTTCGGCCCGACTCACGGGCCGAAGCGCCAAGCCTTTGCGCGGAGGCGGCCCAGCCAGGAGAGCTCCTTGGGGGCTGCCTCAGATCTGCAGAAACGGAGCCTCAGTGGAGCTTTCTGCTCTCTGCGCCGGGCCTTGCTATCGTTCAACACCTCGGTGACGAGCTTGCGCAGTGGCCCCGCCGGGAAGTTCTGGGCAACGGTGTTCCGCGACCTTCAGAGAGGGGAGCAGAAGACAAAAGAAGAACTGATTGTAGGCGCCGGGGGCAAGCCTCAACAAAGATTCCGTGCTCATTGACCTTCTAGTGAAGGATATGGATGCTCTGTTTGGCTCGTCGTTTCCGTCCTCGTTGTCTTCATTTGAAGCAGGATCGGTGTCCTTCTGTTTCTCAGGAGCCTCCTGAACCACTGGAGCCGACACCGGAACGCCCTCTGCTTGGCTCCGAATGTCCGCGAGAAGTTCATCCACCGACCGCTGCCACTCGCGGTGCTGGTCTCGAAGAAGCTGTATGTGGGAAGAGGACGTAGTCTGCTGCTCTTGGATTTCGGAGAGCTTGGCCAGAAGCCCGGCAGTGGCCATGGCCCGGGCACAGGAGGGCAGCTTCACTAAGGCCGTAAGGGGGGGGGGGGGCCCTCCTCTGTGCACTTCAAGGCATTTCGCTCTCTCTTTTTGGCGAGGTCGTGGAGCTGCTGCTGCAAGCTGCCCGTCGGGTGGACTGACTACTCTGGTTCAACTTGGGACGAGAGCAACAGCATGCACATGACTCTGCCAGCTGGAACACAGACCATACAAACATATATATATATAACATACATACCTACATACATACATACATACATACATACATACCTACATACATACCTACGTACATACATACCTGCGTACGCACGTACGTACATACATATGTATATATGTATATATATACATATATATAGATGCAGAGGCTGTTGATTCTCGAATGCGCCGGAGCGTGGAGTTGTCTTTCATGTATAGAGCACTGGTCGCAGCGGTATGACTCTAAGCGGAACATCGCAAGCGATGCCTACTTTCTACATGCTACATCTTGCGAATGGAGAAGCATGGCACACTTGTAAAGGTACAGCAGCTGAAGCTTCTTTGGCCGTGTGAAAAGAGAATTGGTGCGCATTTTGCTGCATAATGAGCACAATTCGACATACGTGTCCGTGCACGTGAGTGTGTGTCTGCGCACACGAACACATTCACGCACATAAGTGCATATACAAGCCTTCATAGATTCACATGGAATGAGAAAAACATACACAGATGAACGGAAAGAGCAAGTCATGCCCCTACGGCTTCGATGTTCCGTTGCCGACGAAGTGTTTCTGTCTCGCGCTCAGCACCACTTCAACTCCGGTCCATTGAAAAGAGGGGATCTTAAGACATGGCTTCCAGCTCAGCTGGACGAGGAGCGCGACCAACGTGACCTCTGGCGCTTCTTCCTTTCTGCGGACTCCGAGGACTCTGAGGAGTCCCGCGCCTTTGAGTCCCGCTTCTTAGACTTGGCCTCCTCCGGCTTGTCCTTGACCTGCTGCACAGGTTTCGTGGGGAAACTGTCGGAATGCTTCAAGATTTTTGTTCGAGGCCTGGTCTGGGTTTGGATCTGGTTTCTTCGCGTCCTCGGGCTCCTCGGGCTCGGCCACCTTGTCCTTCCAGTTATTCCGGAAGCTGGCCAAGATCTCCTCACAAAGAGAGAGGACTTTTTCCAGAGCTCCCTAAAATCTCTCCCTGGGCCCCCAGGGCCTGGGCGGACCTGGGCTTCCCCGAAGCCAGGTTTCGTGATCTCGCGTTCACGGCCTTGGCGGCCTTCGCGGCGGCCTTCGCAGCAAGCTGGGCCTTCGTTGGCTGTGACAGCTGCGCTTTCGCCCACCTCGCCACTCTTGCGGGCTCAAAATTTAGGGAGTTAGAGTCCGTTAGAGTAATTATCAAATGCTCGGCACAACAACCGGAGCTCTGCTACGCCATGCCAATTGCAGGAAAAGGCACACGCTGTCATCTCCGATGTTCCGGTAGAGCATGTCCCCTCTCCCGCGTTTGCCAGCATGCGACATACTTCGCCGCAGGTGGTTTCTGAGACAACGAAGGCAAAGTTCAGTCTTTCCAAGGCATGCCAGGCCGAACTGCTTAAAGGCTCGACCTGCCTCCTTACAGCAATAGACTCCCCAGACTTTATACATGACCTCACAACAGCCCAGTGACACGATGCAGCTTGGACACGGCACATGTCTCATTAGTCTCTGAACCAGGAAGGCTGCAGAGCCATGCTTTGCACTGACTGTCGTGTCGAGCCCCTGGTTTCCGCAGTCAGGTGGGCTCACGTAAATGGCATCTGCTCTCTGATTCATTTCACACCTGCCGAAGAGCGTCACCCCTCGTGGTTTTGCCAGAGCATGTGCAGTCAGATGCACCGAGTCAGCAGTGAGTTACGTCTTACGCGTAAGCACTCAAAAACTAAGGCTTCAAGACCGGGGTGAAACGGCTGCTCCGTCACATGCTCACAACGTCCCTCTCGACGTAGGATCCGTAGGGTAGCGACTGCACCAACCACTCGCAGCACTGTTCAATGTTCGACACACGGCTGTTTACCAACTTCAAGAGCCGGAGGTTCTGTAACGTCCACATTGGCATGTCCAAGAGTGACAAGTTCAACAAGCCCTCCACAAATTCCATCTGAGTGAGAAACCCGGAGTCGTCCACATCCAAGAGGTCGAAAATATCTTCCATGTTGTCCACACAGACGGCCTCCAGCACCCGCGGTGGCAAGATGTCGATGGGGACGTGAGACACCTCCTCCCTCGTGATCAAGCCACTGTGGTCTGTGTCGATGGTTTGAAAGATTCCAATCAAGACTGGCAGTGCCTCGGATCGAACGATCAAAATGACAATGATTAAAGACTTCTTCACGGCCTTTCAGCCGGGCCGCTCCCCGCACCTTCCGCTTCAGCATGGCCCGCTCCTGACTGTGTTTCCGAGAGATAATTGGTGCTGTTTTCTGCGCAGCTCCTCTTCCATGCTGTGCGCCGCATTGTCCATGGCATTCTCCACCTTCGCAAGATCTTCTGGTGCGTGTCTGGGTCTAAGGTTCAGGTCACGACATGTTGTCAGCAAGGCACCAGTGCCGCGGTGACGAGATTCAGGAGGCCGATGGAGATGAACACCTCACCGCAGGCAACAAAGAATGAACAGGCACCACAGGAGACCCAAGTCTTTGCTGTATAGCGTCTAGGATGGGAAGGAAGTACGTCCAAAGCCTGGGCTGTAGCGTGTGCAAAGCGTCAGATGCTCTCCGGACTCAGCCATCCCTGAGCACGCAGCCAAGGCTTTTTCACGATCAAAGGGAACCAGACGTCGGAGAGTCCGTCCAAGGTCACGAACTGTCAGGCTGCGATAGGCTGCAAAGCAAGTCGCTGCAACAAGCGAAATGTGGCATCCGTTCCTGCCTGAGTGAGTGTAAGGATTGCCTTCCCTACACCTCGAAAGCGTCCGATGACAATGTCTCGGGTCGACGTGTCTTCAAGAAGGTCGGCATCTTTCGCAATGAGCTCCACTGCCACGCACGCGAAGATGAAGAGTGACACGAGGATCAGCGCCGTCGTCGAGAGGATTGTTTGGCTAGCTGTCAAAAGTCCATAGACCAAACGCCACATGATCTTGAAGTGGCGCACCATTCGGAGGACTCGCACCAAACGCAGGAGCCGCACGCCCCGGACCACCAGCAACTTCTCCTTGGACCCAAACTCTAAAGCCATCTTCAATCCCAAAAAAGAAAACAACCCCCAAAAATCTCCCTGCCCGGTCAAGTTTTGTCCAACAAATCTTGCGGTTTGGGCTCGAAGCCGCTGGTGTCTTCGCCTCCGACGATGGCCGGAACGACCCAGAGGGCAAGGAGCCCGATGGCAATCAGGCAGACATCCATCCAGAACCAAAGGTCTTGGAGCACAGCACATCCCCTCAGAATTTCAGATCTCGATTTGGGATTTTTGGAGTCTGAGAGTCCGTTTTTTTGGTTAAGGCTGGGACCGCCCAAAGAGTTGCAAGCCGGCTTCCAAGCAGTAGATCCCCAAGAAGATGCTCTCGATGCTGCTGAACCAAAGGCTGTGCTGCGACATCTCGTCCTAGCTTCAGGCGGCGGGTGCTGCAGCACCCAGTCTAATGGGCCATTCTCTAGATTAGGGTCCCTATTTAGGTCCCCAATATAGTACGGCACCCTGATAAAAAGCACCCCCCAAAAAGGAGCCTAATGTAGAGAACGACCCTGGTAGATTAGAAGAAGGCCACCGAGTCTCCTGCAAGGACATCTCGGCCTCGACCCCGATGGCGACCAGGTTCCTTTGTTCAAAAAGCCAGAGAAAGTAAGGGGCGGCCTTCCCAATTCCCTGCATAAGGTACAGTAAACTGTGTTGTGCCGAACTGCAAGAGGATCACAAAGCCGGAAAAGAACTCGAAGAGGCTTGAAGCCACCAGACGGGCACACATCTCCCTCGCTTTGCTGATCGGTGAGTCCATCACTGCGCCGTTTGCCTGCACTCTCAGAGCCCAGGGGCCCTTTCCGGACTCTTTTCTGACTCTCTCTCCCTAAGACTCCTCGCCTCGCTGTGAGGGAGCAGCTCAATGAGCAGCTTGCGGAGGGGCCCAGCAGGCGCATGCTGCAGCACAGACTTCCGAGACCTGCACAAAAAGCCACGACCGCCACGAAAAGCACTTGTCAAGGAGGCTACGTAACCTACTCCCGGACCCCCCTTAAGCTTTAAGTCTTGCTGCCGCCACAGAGCTTCAGTAATGGATGAAGGGCCACCGCCTTGTTGCCACGGTCGCTCGTGGCGCCTCCAACATCCCTCTCCGTGATTGACCGCCGGCCTTAAGGCACCCAAAAGCAAACTCCGACAAAAGAACGCTTCTCTCTCTGTCTCTGCCGTTGCATCCCAGAGGGTCGAGCAGCGCCACAAGCACTTATTTAAGATGAGCTTTGACACTGACGCCTGGACAAGCCGGGAAGGGCTGTCAAGGCAAAAGGCATGACGAAGTGCTGTCGTGGAGGCTACCCCCCCTCTCGTCCCGCACGCCCCTTCATGGAAGCAACACTTGACCTTTTCTCCGCCGCTCGGTCTGCCAGCGGCTTCCACATCCCCATGTACGAGTACCCGAGTATCCAGGGGGCCGGGAGGCTGTAGGGTTTAATTTTGAAAGACCTGGGCCCAGTCCCAAAATTTCATGTTAACTACATCCTATATCCCATACATCCTAAACCCTGGAAGAGGATATGCCTTCGCAGCATCAGCAAGCACACTACCCCAAAGCCTGGGTGTTGCTCAGGCCTCCATATGGTAAAGCAAGCGCAGGAAGAACAGAGTTACGAGATCGTCAATCCGCTCGTTGTTCTTCAGATTCTTCCCGCATGTCCAGCACATCCTCCAGAAATGCCTCCAACGTGCTTCGGAGGAAGGGGTGCTCGCGACATACGGACCGGATGTCGTCGATGTCCGAGTCTGGGAAGACTATCATATTTTCCATGTCGCCTGCAACTGGTGCCGGCACCACTGAAAGGCAAGAGTGTCCGCTCATAACATCGACGACTCCATCCAAGTATGATTTAACCCACCTCGTTCTGCAGGCGTCGATTTCCTTCCTGTGCTCTTCAACACGCTCTGAAGCCGGCAGCTTGCTCTCGGAGTGCTTGAAATGCCAAGGAGTTGTCGCAGTCTAGAAGCCCCTCACGATTTGGCCCTTCCATGGCGAGAGGTCATCGCCGATTAATGCGTGGACTTCCATGCCTGCCCCAAGAGCAGCATCGTCCAAGATCTTGGTCTGGAAGTTGTTGATTTCGATTAGCTCGCCCTCGCTGAGTCCTCTTGCAGGAAAGAAGTTGAAACCCTCATTAATCAACACGAACTCAAGAAGCTCAGCTGCCCCGAGTATATCAGCACCTTTGTTCATATCCATTTTGGTCCGGAACCCGCCCAAGGCTGTTTTCAGCACCTTCTTGAGCATGCCTGCTTTCTTGCCATGGCCAAGTGGCGCAAATAGCAATGGACTGGCTTTCGCAAAGACGGACAGCACTGATCTCAGCTGGGGCCCTCCGAAATGGGCGCGACAACGTCCGCCAGCCTCCATGCAGCATAAGCAATCCACACAGTCAAGATTCCGGGCCATGCAGGAGTCGAACATCATACTTAAGGCCTTCGTTGCATATCCGCAGTGGCTTGCTGCAGCCACAATGGTCATAAACTCAATACGTCTGTGACTGTTCTGTAGAGTTAAAAACAGTTCTGTGGAGGAGCTGACAGCATCCAAGAGCTGTTGCCTCGCCAGGCGAACAAACCAGGCCGCCAAACCACATCGAGCGGCTTCAGCGGGCGGAATTGCACAAACCATGTTCGCGAAGACTGCGATTGGAGTTTTGTTGAACAGCTGAAGTTCGACCTGCATCAACCCCACTTGCCATTTTTCGAAAGCTCTCTGCAGCGTCTGGACCACTCGCAAAAGCCGGGAAGCAGGTTCATCCTCACTGGCGGCGCCTTCTACAAGCAGAGATGACGCCTGCAGACGACTGAAAAGTTCCACCAAGACTGCTGAAAGGAAGGTAGGGACTGCATCAGCGAGTAACAAGTACTTCGCGAAATCTTGTGAATAAGGGTGAGATCCAACAGCCTCGAGGATACCTAAAGGAGACAGGTCACAGGGCTGGTCAGGCAGGCGCTCTAGCAACGGATCCCCGGCGAGGTTGGCATCCAGCCCACCATGCTCAACGAAGAGCTTGCAGTGCAAGAAGCCAGAAGCATCCAGCGACTCCACGCGCTTGGCGTATCGCACGAAGTGCCACTCTCCGAAGCTGGCCCGAAGAGCCTTGCTGGCAGCTGACAGGGCTACTTAAGTAGCTACGTCGCAGCGATCCATTAAGAAGCCCTCCGTGTCTTGAGGGATCCACCGGGCCAGAATCTCATGGCAACCATGGCGCGCCATGTCCTCTGAAAGAAGCTGCCTGTGCATGAACCCAACTACATATAGGCAAATGGTCAGAAGATGCCAGAAGTTCAGCTGGGGCTTCCTAGAATTGATACGTGTCAGCGATTTGGAGGCGTGTCAGCGCGTGTGTCTATGCTGTCTACATCAAGTCAACCTGCAAGGGGCTCTTGAGAGGCAGAATGCCAGCATCCAAGAAATTGAGTCGTGCCGCAGCTTGAATCCGAAGTGTGGGCATGGACGTGCAGGACACAAGCAAACCCATCGAATCATTTCTAAGATGATGACCCAAAACCACTCTTTATCACAGTCCTATCAGCTTAGAACCCTTCAATACTACAGTTCCGACGGGTGGTCAAGGTTATACGCTGAAAGACCCTGAGACGTACATACATACTGCCGTGAACCTTACAAGGTCAAGCTGCGTCGGGACTCTCTGGGCTCGTCGGGTAATTCCCGGAGTTGCAATTCCAGGGCGTTCTCGTGATTCTTGAATGCCGTGTCCACCCGCTCCAGCAAGCTTTCGACAGTTCCTGGCATTGTCTGACATGCTTCGAAAGCTTGGAGCGCTAATACAAACGCTAATTAGATACCAGGACCGTTGTTTACCTATAGTTTACAGCAACGTTTATAGGCCGTTGCTGGCGACTTCCCCCCAAAACGCGCTGTATCCCTGCCCGGCACTGCCCCATGTCCTTGCCACTCGCGGTGCAGATCTCTCAGGCCGTCGATCCTCGCGGAGGACTCTTTGAGTTGCTTCCGCACCTGGGCATCCGGCGCTTGTCTGGAGAACAAAGGCGTTTCCCGTGGTGGGTGGCCAATTTTGGAGTTATCGATGGTTCTCTTGCTTGATTTGAGATCTGTGCAGAGGAGCACAGCAGTTGAAAGGGACTAGTAACAAGAACAGCTCGACGACAGACTGCAGAATCTGAGAACGAGGAGCCTTTGACAAAAGCTGACAATCTAGATGAACACCACCACCGAAAGAGATTAGTGAGTTGTCGAAAAGGCGAAGAGGACTGGAAAATTTGTAAAGAGGAAAGGAGCAAACCGCTCGAAAAACACTCGACAATTTGGGGAGGAGGAGGACTAGGGTATTTGAGAAGCAGAAACACAAGCCAACCGCTCGAACATGAGGGACTAGACATTCAAGAAAGGAAAGCCGCTCGAGAATGTGACACACAGGAATCAGATTGGCAAGCCAATCGAACAGGGCTGGAACATTTGAGAAACATGAGCAGGCCGCTCGAGACTGGAGAATTGACGAAGCGGATCATTTGAGAAAGAGGGGCAAACCCCTTGCTGTGGTCATTTGCCCCGTTTCCTCTGATTCTTAGTCTGTTTCCAGAAGCTCGCTGCGCCTTACTTTCCCATTTATCCGTATCCAGTTTCCTTCGACACCCGTGAGAATCTCAGCAAGGGGCAAGACACTTGAAGCTCACTGTGAATCCTTGGAAGCAGCAGCGGCAACCCCTTGGTTGAAGCAGCAAGTTGCAAGAAAGCACTCAGCCCAGAGAACAACCCACCGGAAAAGCAACTACGAGACTGCGACAGAGGGAACTACAGGTTCTGGTTTGCTCCTCTAGTTTTCGCCTTTTTCTCCGATCGTCTACTCTCTTTCGAAATTTATTCTCCGCCCTCTCAAACAGGTTGCGCGTCAAACTCTCAAAGTATCTAGACTTGTCCGAACGGTTTCCCTCCCTCTCTCGCTCTCTCTCTCTCTCTTTCTCTCAATTTCTAATCTCTGTCCAGCGGATTGCTCCCCGTTCTAAAAACCTCCTCCTCTTCTCTGACGACTGGCCTAAGCCATTCCGATGGGTCCTCTTCTCTTTGCAAACTGGTCTATTCTCGTTCGCGTGTTTTCCTCCTGGTGGTTCAATTTCTTCGTGTCCTTCTTGCCGTCTTGCCTTTCTGTCTCCGACCACCCCTCTTGCTCCAATTCCCGGATCTCTTTCCAGCGGCTCGAAATTTGCCCTCTTTGTCAATTTGCTGCTCTTCTTCAAACGTTCGAAATCTCCAAGACTCCGGTCTCTATCCAGTTCTTTCTGTTTCTCGAATTACCGCTCCTCTTTCTCGAATTATCTTCTTTGCACGGGTTCGTGTGAAACTGTGAAAGAGAACGTCGATGTTTCGTGCTGTGGGTGGATGCCATCAAAGCCAGGTATTACTCCGGTTTGGTTCGGCTGCATGGCCAAAATCACTCACTGCTTGAGGATGTATCAGCGCGTAGACGGACTATGACACAAGACTAAAAGGTTCCTAAACCCACAACACCAAAAGGTTCCTAAACCCCAAGAAACCCCTTAAAGGTTGCGGGGAATTCATCGCGAAGTTCTGAGTTCCGGACTTCTGCAAGCTGCTCCAGGCCTTCTTCCATTTTTTTTTGGGGGGGAGGCCGCCCCTGGCTGGGGGAGGGGGGGGCAAAGAGGCGCCAAAGAGGCGCCGAGCCTTGAGTTGGAGCGGCTGCAGCGCTATTGAACTCCTCGGCTTTCAATAGGGAAAAGTTGATCTTCTTTTGGGGGCTCGTCTTGAAAACCTTGATTCTCGGGCTTTTTTCCCGCCCGCCGAGCTTTGGGGTTTTTTTGGGTCCAGGGTTTTCGTTACGGTGATGGCCCTAGGCGTCTGTTTGCGGCAACCGCAGCTCGTCGACGTGTCCGCTGGTTCCCAGCTTCCAGACATCTGAATCTGCGAGTGCGTTTCTGCTGTACTGCTGTGGCACATTGCAGTCGAATTATAAGATCAACGCAAGAGCTCAAGGGACTGTTCTTGCACTGTCTGTGAAGCTTTACCGCCGCTTGCTCGGGGTGTCGTCGCGCTTGCGTCTCGTCGGTGACGTCGGCGAGGCGGGCATTTCCTGAGACCTCGTGGCAAACTCCCTCCACAATGCCTGGAATTCGTTGGCAAAGGCCGCGACCACGGCTGGATCCCGGAGAATGCAAAGATTTTCCCAGTTTGTCGTGCTGGCTTGCTTTGTCCAGTTAAAGCTGCCCGTGAGAACGCACTCGTCTACAATGGCGATCTTGTGATGCATTCGAGCTGGGGAGGAATCAATCAGGACGGGGACGCCAGCTTCAAGCAGCTTCGGCGCGTCTGCCCCAAGCATGCCGCATTGCTCATCATCCACGATCACCTTCACATCTACACCCCGCCGAAATGCAGAAAGAAGCTCTCCAGCTAGCACGTCGTCAGTGAGCGCGAACATTGCTACCCACACCTTCCGCCTCGCTGCCCTGAGTAGCAAACAGATATGTCGGACATGGGTGCCGGATTTATCAGGGAAAAACAAGACTTCGGGACAACGCCAATATCTCTGCCGAAGGTGGTGGAGAATGTGCCAGATGAAGAGAACAACTGCCGACAACCAAGCTGCCGAAGCAAACCCGATTTCCGCCCTATGCTCGTCGTTAAAGAAGAGCTGAGCCTTGTCGCGCAAGCTTGCAAAAAACGGCCGAAACTCTTCTGGCAAGCGTTCCAATAATGATTCTGAGATGATTGTGCGGCTTGCGCCGTCAAGGCTGCCAGCCAGTTGCCCCAAAGCAAAGACGGACACATCTGCAACGAGACCGCACGTCTTCTGAAGCAAACACCAGGAAGTTCCCCAAAAGCCAGCGGTGTGGCAAAGTGGACTCGCAGACCATGGCGGATCCAGAGGCGACATTCCGTGCAGTTCGGGCGCTCATGGCTTGATGAGGTCGAGACCAAAAAGCTTTCCGCGTACATCGGGAATCGGACGGAAGTCACACTCAGTTTTCACGCTCCGCAGGAGTCTCTAAGCCACATTGCCATGGCATTGCATGGACATCTCGTACCATTCTACAGGCATTTTTCCGAAGGAAGGAGCCGAAGCCGCCTTTCAGCCTTCGCTTCGCCTCGAGCTCAGCTTCTCGAGCTTGCTTCTGGCGGAGCTCTTCTCGGAGATCTTCTGACTGTCGAAGTAGCCCCTGGGCCCGATGTCCAGCAGCCACTCCGGCTTGATCTGCGTGCCTTGCACAGTGCATATGCGCGCGTGCCCCCGCATGGGGCGTTCTACAGAGACCAAAACCACAACACCCCCCCCAAAGAAACCCTCAATCCGGACCTGTCTTGATGAAGAGCTTTGACGACAAAGCCAGCTCGTGGAAGACGATCCACTCCGGCCGGTGTCCGAGGGAGGTGGAAGGGTGCAGCATGACCTCCTGGAGTTCTAGAGTGTCTTGATAAGTGTAGCTTATTTGGCTTCAAGTGGCCTTTCTGTTTTCCTTTGGATTTTGGGTTTTGGGCTTAGCTAGGGAATGAAAAAGAGATCGCAGGAGGAGCGAGAGCTTCGGCTCTGGGACGCGAATGGCCCTTGGTTGACCTGTCCTGGCCATCTCTGAGCATGCTGTAAGCTCCCCGTTTCTCGCTTTCTAAACAAGCGATCTGCATGAAGAAGCCGGACACGAGGCACCTCCTGATGTTGGGATAGTACTCCTTATCCTTCAGGGAGAATTGATCGGTGCAACTGCAGCACGCCGGCCCACTTAGCACACATGGGGACAACAACAGAACTCGGCAAGACACTAGCTTCACCAGCTGTCCTGGAAATCCGTGCTGATCATTTGCAGCCCGATGCTTTCCATGATCCTTTTCAGATGGTCCCGGGCGATCTCTGCATGGCGCATTGCCCGGATGGAGATAAAGTTCTCCGCGCAAAACCTGGAAGGATCGTGGCCATCCTGGATCTGCTGCTTGTAGGCATGGAAAACCTTGGTTCCAGCAAGGAGCTCATCGAATCATCTGGCTCAAGCTCGAGCGAAGACGGGATCTACACAATGCCGGGCTGCATTCAAGAGGGTCAGATGATCTCCATCCATGTGGGCAAACCTGGCTTTGGCCTGAGCTGCGCGGATATCTCTTCTCTGGACACAAAACGAGGCCGTCTCTCTGCACAAAGGAAGGCGCCTCGTTCGCTGCCCGGAAGGCATCGTTGGGTCGGAGCCACACAGGTAGCGAGCAGAGCATCGCTGCGATGGACAAAGCCTCATTGCCTCGGCTCAGAGCTACTTTTTTGAGGGGGGCCTTCTCAGGGGGTGTATGGGAGCCCCTGCCACTGCCAGATTCCCAAAAACTGCAGGCAGAGTGGCTGCATCGGTGCGCCGGGGCTTCGATGAGCATCCGTGCGATCTGTGGATCCACTGGAAGCCGGCAGGCTTGGTTCCCAACCTCCGTGATGTTCCCGTTATCATCGATGCCTCATGGAAAGCCCGGAAGGCCGCTAGAGGACCGCCGCTACTTCCTGCATCTCAAACTGGCCCCTTGCCCGTAACAGAAGAAAAGCAAAGGGGATACAACATTGTTGTTGTAGTGTATTATATTATATTATAATTATAGTACATAACAAATTATAGTATAGCATAGTATAGAGTATAGAGTATATTCCAATATAGTAACCAATTGGAGACGTGGCTGCAGCCCAAGTGGTTCAGGGACTCCAGGGCCCTCATGAGCGCTTCCGGCGAGGGCGGATCCACGAAGTCAAAGTGCACCACGTCGTCGAAGCCCAAGCGCTTGAGCATCAGCACGATGGTCGTAAGGCTTGATCTCCTGCCGAGGATGCAACAAGGCGGTGATGTCTTAAGACCGTCAAAGAAAAACCTGGGGAAGAAGGGAAGAAAGTGCCACAGTAGTTTGAGAATGCGGGCCAGCGGCATGATTTCAGGATAAACCTTCTCAGGCCAGTCGCTGGTCGCCCGCTCTGGGTAGAGTCTGAAGCACTTCCCAGGGCGTTGCCGGCCGGCAAGGCTCGTTCGCTGAAGCGCTGAGGCCTTGGAGATCGGCGTCACCACATTCACCTCCATCCTCGTCCGAGGGTTGTAGGCACGCTGCTTAACAAGGCCAGCATCGATGACGTAAGTGATCCCATCGACTGCTAGGGACGTCTCAGCAATGGCACTCGCCACAACGACTTTCCTGCTTGGCTTGCCGGCCATCATCTTCATCTGCGCAGCGGGCTCGAAGACTCGCTGCGTCTCCATGATTGGCAGGCCAAGATATAGAGCCCGCACCTGCAGGTCCCCGAAGTTCATCATGTGCACTGACTCCTTCCGGAGTAGCTGGCATGCTAAGTCGATCTCATCTTCCAAGGGCAAGAATAAGAGGATATCGCCCTCAGGCTCCGTGGTGTGAACTTGAGCCACCGTCCGAACAGCAGCCTTTAGATAGTCTTTCTCCGCATCCTGGCAGTGGAAAACTTCAACCGCGAAAGTCCGATTGGGAACCTGCAGCAGCGGGGCACCGCCCTCGAAGTAAGCCTGCACCTTCTTCACATCCATGGAGGATGACAGCAGCAGCAGCTTCAGTTCGGGGCGTCGTTGCATTACCATCTTCAGGATGCCCATGAGCACATCCGTCTCACAGGTCCTGAGGTGCACCTCGTGGGAATCGGTGCTTCTTACACCCGGGCCCTTTAAAGCCCTTTACTTCGCCTCATCCAGGATGATGACGCTGTATCTCTCCAGCAGTGGATCCTCCATGGCCTCCCGGAAGAGGGCTTCGTCCGTCAGGAACCGCAGGAGCGTGTCCCCGGAGGTTCGGTCCTTAACTTCAGGGCAGCCTTTCTTTAACAAAGCACCGCAGTAGAGCTCTGAGCCGGAGCGCCTCGAAGCGGGTCACGTGTCCCACGAAGGTTCCCACCTGCACCTCCAGCTCTTCGCAGATTCGGAGGGAGGCGCTCAGCGTCGCCAAAGGGCTCGGCTGCACACCTCAGAGATAACTCACGTCGACGACGCCTACAGGCTGGCACCTGTAACATGCCGAGCAGCAGCAAATCGCTCGAACCTGGCCCATCTGGACATGGTAACCGGCGTCAAGCAAGATCTGCGGCAACTGCGTGGTCTTGCCGCATCCGGGCTCGCCCACCAGAACCAAAACCTAGGATGGTAGTGCGGGCTTATCAGGACCAGTTCGGGTGCATTTGCAGGTCTGGTCGAAAGGTCTCACGGGTCGGGAGGGCAGTCTTGGACGAAGCTTGATGCTGCATGGTGCCGTCATGACTTGACAGGCAGAAGGGTTACCCCCCGAAACCGACACAAGCACCCAATCGCTCCCAGGCAGCTTGGTTCGATTGCATAAGTTTCAGAAAGTCCTGTCTTGCCATCCAGGCTGGCAGTCTTTGCCGCTTCTCCAAGAGGTAGTAGAAGCGAGGGGTGTACCTCGGGGGCATCGGGTTTGCAGATTGGTGAAAAAGGCAGAGCCCCCGAAAAACCTGCCCTGGGCGCCCGGCGGAGCTCCCGTAAGAGGATTTTGGTTCTGGCGTGGGGGTTCTGGAGGTTGGGGTGTCTGATTGTACTGATCCTGTTGCATCTGCTGATGTTGCTGATGCTGCATGTGCTGCGGCTGCTGCATGTTCTGACCTTGCAGGTTTTGGTTCTGCATGTGCTGTTGCAGGTGCTGCTGCATCCTTGCCTGAATTTGCTGCTGCATCTGCTGCTGCATTTGCTGCTGCATTCGCTGCTGCAGTTGTTGGTGCATCTGGTCGCTCATGTCCTCATCACCCTCCTGGTAGTCCTCTTCCTGGTACTTCTCCTGGTAGTCTCGATACTGGCCTTCGCCTTCGGCATCCTCCTTGGCCTCCTCCTGTCCGCCGGCTCCGGGCCCCTTCGGATAGCCCTCGTAGCCCTCGGCCCCATCTTGGCCCTGGCCCTGCATCATCTGCTGCCATTGCATGTGCTGCACCTGCTGCACTTGCTGCTGCATCTCAGGGCTGAGATGTTGCTGCATGTCGTTCTGGTAGAGCTGCTGAAGCACTTCAGCACTCATCTGCGAGCCATCCATCGGCAACCAGCAGCAGGTGGCTGGATGCTACCAGTGAACCTCTGCCTTTTCACATCTTCGCTACTTCCAAGCACTTGGGCCAAGGGCGAGGGCAAAGTGTTGGCCAGTCCATAAACGGAGGTGTGCACTCCAGCTACAGCCGAAAGTCACAAGAAACGGCGGCTCTTTCCCAAAGCTGATGCTAGCGCTCACTCGCTCGCTAAGATGAAGCTGGCCGGGTTCATGGCATGTGGTCAATGAGGGGGCGCTGCCCCACACATTGCTGTGTTTGGGAGAGCATCCCGGACATGCGATCAGTACATCCTGTCTCCTTTGTCTCCCCGTCTCCCAAACTGGCATGTCATCCCGGTTGAATAAGTGCACGTCTGTGCATGATGGGCAGTTCGGCAGCCACTCAAAGAAGGCGACCCCTGCCACAAGGGAAATCCATCACTGAAGACGAGAAAGGCGTAATGGATCGTTCTCACGACCTTCCGTTCCCTTTCTGCTCTGCTGTGCCACCTCCCTTTCGTGAGCGATGCCTTAGGCACAGCTCGAAACGAGGTGCTGGTCACACCGAGAGCAGATGTCTTGAGCAACATGGGAAGGACTGACTAATGTACAGGGTTCATTGGCTGCCTCTTGTAATCAAGAGCCAATCTGGGGAACGGGGGCCGGAAGAGAATCAGGTACGCTAGCAACAGAGGTCTGTCAGCTACGCCAGCTCTTTTAGGGCTGGCAACTTCTCAAGCTGTGTCGGCACGCCTGCGTCCGGCGCAGAGCTGCGCACGTGCGCCTGATGCCTCTGCGACAGGCTGGATGATGCCTCATGCGCAGAGGAGCCGTGACCGAGCCGGATCAGTTTGGCCACGGCATGCCGCCGTCCGTCCTGCGCCAAAGACCCGGTGACAGAGAGCTCCCCCCAAAATGCAGGCTCTCTCTGCCTGGAGAATCCGTGGACTGGGTGCAGGAATCCGGGAGCCGGCCAATCCAGAGCAGGGTCTTTCGGCCTGGCTCTGCAGAAGCTGAAGCTGCACCCCGTGCCCCCCCCCCATCACAACTCATGAAGAAGAAGAAGCAGCATCTGTTGCCTCCAATAGGTTGGGAGCAGGCTCTTCTTCTCCATCTTGGCTTCCTCTCGCACTATGGCAAGGGTTACGGATTTTTCATGGCAGCGGCCAGGCCTCGCAGTCGGCCGTGGCTGCCTAAAAGAGACGGATCGTGCAAGCGTGCAAGCGGTGCAACGGCAGCGCAGAGCGCCGGGCCTCGGCGTTGCCGTTGTCCAGCAGAGATGCAGGCATCTGCCATCGTGTCCTGCGAAAGAAAAAAGGGCCGACGACCCGACGAGTACAGTAAAGGGGTCTTCCCCTTTCCCCCCTCCTCTCTTCAAAATCAAAAAGCCGCCGCGCCTGAAGTGGCTGTTGGGGCCCGGGGATGGCAGGCTCAGGCTCGGAGCGGAGGAGGCGCGGATCAGCTCTCGACTGGCCTTGGCTTTGGGGCTTTTTGGGTTTAGGGTGTAGGGGTTTAGGGGCTTAGGGTTTCGACTCTCAGAATTTCAGGGTTTAGGGTTTAAAGGGTATAGGGTGTAGAGGTTCAGGGATTTCGAGAGAAAGGGTCGCAGCGTCGTGCCGGCCAAGATCCAGGCCGGCAGTGATTGCAAGGCCATGACGGTGCCAAGGGTTTGGTTGGCATCAGTCCGAAACCTCTTTCGACAAAGATCGCATCACAACGCAAACACACCACAGCACCGCCACATTGCAGCCTGAACTTTCTGCCCTCGTTGATTTTGGCCTGGCAGACTACCAGGTTACGAAGCCCCTCTATCTGCATGGCAGTACCTCCGTGAAACAAGGCCCGGAGCGACTCCGGAAGCCCTAATGAAAGATTGGGCTCCTGGCGCGCCTTGGCCTCCTTCACAACCACTCCAGCCGATCTTCCACAGTTCAGAATCTGTTTGTACCCTTCATCTCGGGCGTCCAGGCCGGTCTCAGTTTCATTGGGGAGTGCAAAAAGAGCCTTGATGCCCGGCTCTCCTGGATCTCAGGCCGCTACATCGGGAAGCTTGCGCAGCTTCACGGGCCCTGCCTCTGCTACGTAAACAGACTTGCCATGGCACGCCGGGCTCAAACAGTTTATGGTCGTGTCTCCTAACGTGTGCCGCACACGCCGCACCAAAGCTGTCTCAGCACGACCCAAACAGTGCAAACTTGGACTCCGTGTGCCATCTATCTATCTATCTATCTTATACCAGTGGCTTGCAAAATTTGGTGAAGCTCTGAGGTCCCGGACCTTCGGATTCGGGAAGTGCTGCATCTGGCTCACGCTCCCAAGCCTCTCACCAGGGTAGGCCCTCCTCCAAGCTTTGCTTGTAGGCACCCGGGCCTGCCACCGCGGAAGCTGGGATCGTAAACGATGGTGACATCCTCAGCGACGAGCGAGGCACGGGATGTTCAAGTTCAGCAGCTGGGCTTGATGTGCTTGCCGACTAGACATGCCCCCCCCCTCACCCACACGCACACATGCAAACGCACAAACAAACATCTATAAATACACATATATATATATATGTTATGTTACACACACACACACACACTCTACTCACTCACTCACCCACCCACCTCGACAGAACTTCAGCAGGCTTCACTCGGGCCTTCCGCGACCTTCGACACACGGAAGGATTAGAGAGCTCTCTCTCTCTCTCTCTCTCTGTTGCTTGCTCCGGAGGTAAGGCGCTCATGCGTCTCCCCACATAAGGACTCCGTTCGTCTAGCGTCGAGTGCTCTGGTCGGTATGACAACAACAGTGTGAGCTCTCCCTCTCGCTGTCTTTGCTTTGCATTGGCCGAGGAGACACTTTTCCCGACCCACATTTGTGCAACCCATATTTCATACTGCAGTAGGGGCGGGCGTGCTGTGGTAAGAAAAGGGAGTTTGAGGGAGCCTGTGCGCGCGCGCTTTTCGAAACAAGCCGAAGATGTAACATTCGGGTGCACCGGCTCCGGTGCTGCTACTCTTCTACATGGCCTGACCGCTCTCGCTCTCTCTCTCTCTCTCTCTCTCTCTCTCTCCGACAGAGTTTGGGGAGACCAGGCACGCAGACAGACCAGCACCGACCCAATTCCGAGACCCACTTGACCGCCAGATGCGACGCAAAGAGAAAGACAATGGCTTGTGCAGGAACTCGAACGGATCGCAACTCAATGCAGAGATTGAGGCGAATGCCTTGCCCGTGCCGTTGGCGACATAGTTGTTGTTGATCAGGCGCAATCCGTACATCTGGTCTGCGCCGGAAAACCGAAGCTCTGTTGGAGGATCGCCCAGCCGAGTCCCCAGCTTGAACCGAAGGCAATTGGGCAGCTTGAGGTGGTGCTCCTATCATCTTCTCCTATTGATCCTATGGTACATCATGCGCAACCTGGTAGCGTTCATGTTGGAAGGGCGAGCGTTGGAACGTGTTGCCACACACTTTGGTGGGCTCTCTCGATTTAGCGCGAGAGGATTTGGCGAGCCAGCACTTGATATGCTGGCCCGAAGGCGCCCTGCGCCATGTAAGCGATCGGCTGAGCACCATGGAAAACAGCCACACATGCTTCCGATGCTCCGTTGCAACCTGCATGGAGGGAGTGGCCCAGAAACAAGAAGACATCACCTGGCCGGACTACAGTCAAGGTCACATCCTCCCGTTGCAGCCACTCGCCAGCCGCTGCCGGCAGTTCCATGTCTGTGGAGAGCACGGCTTCCTGTGCCAAGTTCGCCTCCCAAGGAACCACCGGGCCTGGGGTCGCTGCCTCTCCGGGCGGCGAGACACAAAACACCTTCGTTCCATGCAGCACATGGCAGAATTGCATCAAGGGCTTCCGGTCGATGTGGAGATGGGATGCAGTGCCTCCATCCCCGGCAAAAAGCATGGGAGTCTTCTCCGAGAAGTACAAGTAATTTGTGCCAAAATGCTGGCTCAAGCGTGGCACCAAGTCTTGCAAGCTCAGCTGCATGCTCGAAAGGCTTGACAGTGCATCGTCTGCGGCCGGGACTTCTCGCAAGTAGATCTTATCACTTAACTTTGGCCGACTGAGCGTCAGGGTGATCGGATGAGGCCCAGCAAGTAGGTCCTGGACAAGGGCAGGATCCGGCAAGGCTATGAACTTGCAGGTTCTCCCATATGCGATGCAACAGGAGGAGAAGGAATGAAACGAAGAGAGCTCTCATGCTGAAAGGCAACAGTGCCACAGTGACGGAAGAGCCTCATTCAGCGAAGACATGCTAGGTAGCCACACTAGCACTTGCACCAATGCACGTGCATGTACCTCGTGAGAAACTCGTGGAATATGAGAGACACAGAAGGAGAAAGACAGAGACAGGGAGGGAGAGCGAGAGAGACAGAGAGAGACAGAGACAGTGTGAGTGGGAGAGTGGGACACACCTCGATAAACAAACGAGCGAACCTGGCAACATGTTCCCTGAATCATGCAACATGCCGGCGGACGATGCACAACACGTGCCGATCTATCACGAAGCCCCTCTGGACGGACTGGTCTTGTCTGGCACTGCTGGGGCAAATGCTTAGGGAGGTCTTGCATTTCCGAAGACAATATCTTGCATGGGCCGAGCATCTCAAAGTTCTGACAGTGAAAGACTGTAAAACAAACAGCTCGCGCGTCGCAGGAATCTGGCGCCTGAATGTCGTCGAAGGGTGTCTGCAGCACTTCAGAGTCTCCAATCTTGACGATGAGGTCACCCACACGACACCCTGCCTTCTCAGCCTCCCAAAAAGACAATCAACATGTCTGCAAATTGCGCAGTAGTTATAAAAGGCTCTCGGATATTTTTTGTTTTGGAGCTCGAGGTTCCTTCCTACAGCCGCACGTGCCCCTCTTTTGCCTCAGTGCCGGGCTCAACTCGGCGGAGCACCGCCCCGCAGGTCCAGGAAAGGCTCTCGCACTCCAAGCCCAGAGGCTTCTCCTGGAAACGGTGCCGCAGAGAGCTAAGCCGAGCTCTGGCTGCGGGCTTCAGAAGTCCATGGCATCCCCCTCAACCCCATCCTACGAGTACAAGACCTCAATTTAAGGGAGCCCTGAGGAGGTTTGCGCCAGTGTCAGATGAGGACCTGGAGGACGATGGCGAAGCCTGCCATCTTCTCGGGGCCCAGGGCAGCCGCCACGTCGAAGT